CACACACACACACAGCCTCTTCCCAATTTGCGTTTTTGCAATTTACATATATGCAAAAACGCATAAAAAGGAAGCTGCCGCATACCCTAACATTACGATGAGGCGATGATTCGGTCGAATTTGGCAGTTAGCTCTTATATGGATGCTTGGAATACCTGGAACAACTGCATTTCATAATCTCGCTTTTCAACTAACTTGTTGTTTTGACTAGTGGTCAGCTTACTGGCTGTTGGCTCGACTGTTGAAGGGGTTGCCAGCTCAGCAGTTTCCATAATCCTTCCGATTAAGAGATATCGACATCAACCAAAACTAATAATTGTGAATGCTGCAAAATCGCATACGTAAGTCCGGAATTAGACTTTCATGAAATAAATACGCAGTTAACGGGCTGTCAGCATGTTTGTTGACAACTGGAACCGGTAGGGCATGTGGCTGAAACAAGGGATGTGGTGGAATAAGAGAGGACATAAACTGGTGCTAGGGATTAACTCATTTTTCATAACATCTCGCTACAGCCCTGCATCAAAATATGCTTGATATTGCATCCTGTACTAAAATTCGACTCATATCTCTAGCAGTGACTTTGTATTTCATTAAGCGGAATAGCTAAAGTACACGATTCTGAAGCAGCACGTACTTCTAAATATATCTTACGAGCAGTTTTCTCCGGTATCATCGAAATATGGTAAATACATTATGCGCCACTTTCGTATGCGACCACAAGCACGCCTGCTTGCTCCTCTCGTCTGCGTAGCTAATCAAATTAAACTTACTATGCTGGGAAACTGGGGCCACTGTTTCTAATGATCTTATCTTCAACGCGGAATAACTGTTCCCACAGTTCCCGGTTTAGCTGCGTAACTTGAAATACTTAGAGTCGCCAAACTTCTCTGCTCTCGAGTTTTACATTTCTCCCTGGCTTCTTAATCTTTCATACGTCTTTACATAAACGATTTGGACAAAAATGCATTAGAGCTAATATCATATGTATGTATGTGTCTCTGTTCGGACAATGCTTTTCAACAAATAAAAAATCTAGAAAACTAATCCATAACAATATTTAGAGCTAGCGGGCATAAAATCATCCATCAGTTCTCACTGTGGGTTATTTTCATAATTTGAGATTCATATCTGGATTAATTTTGTAACTAGAAAGCCGCAGTCTGGAAGATTTTGGAGACAAATAACATAAAATTCACTTTCAAACTGGCTCTATTGCAGTGTATTGTAAGTAAGCGATGACTTAACTATTTTCCGATACTACTATGTATGATCAGCTTCGACTTTTGCTGATTTCTTGGTTTCAGGGCAAAGAAAGCAAGAAAATGGGAATTTCGAGGTTTGATAAAAATTCTTGAAAATCATGGCCGGTGTTTCTCGGGTGTTGGATTGCATTAATAACGAATTCCTGTATACATTGGTGCAATCATCCTCAAGGCATCCGCAATAGCTTATTGATAAAATAAGCATCCGCGCCCAATTTCCATTTACATAAAGGTGATGGATGGGATCTCCAGTACCGCAATGTAATATAAGCAGGCAATGACACAAAAATTTGCCGACACCACTAAGAAAGTTGATCCTTGACAATTGCGTAAACCGAGTGTTATTACTGAAACAGAAGTTGTTTTGGCGCACACTGCCATAAATAATCATATATTTTGTGAAACTGAGCCTAGTCTTGTTTACGGTATTCGTGCATTGAGTCTCTCGTTATACAACAGGTTTTCGATAACGGTTACTAGACAGTCAAAGACCTGTTTTTTCAATGTCACACTCGAAAGTATTTTCGCTTTGATATGCCGTTTTCTATTTCATTAGTTCGTTGTCTGCATGCACAGATATAACCTATTTTGTTGGTTTTGAATTTACATTCAGACATGCAAAAATACAATAGAATTTTCAGCTTTCACCTTTCCAAACTGCAGTACCCTTGTCTGGTCACTGAACTATCCTGAGTAGGATTTGAGAGCATATTGTTTGCAACAATATGCAGAGACAGATTTGCTCATTCGCTTCCTTGAAATGCTTTCTTTCCCGCTGATTACTTTGAATTACAAATGCAGCTATCGCTGAAACATCCTTTTTTTTTTTTTTAAATGGAAAATCCATTGGCTTCCTGTTTCCTTAGTGCATTTTTGTAATGTTATATACGGTTATCCAGAATAGAAGTAAAACAAATTTTTGCAAAATACCAAGCCGCAAGCTTGCTCCAAAACATGTAGATCCGTTGTGCGTACTCACAAATATGCTCCAAAACCAGCCAGCATTTTTAGGTTGACAAAGAAGAAACTGCTTCTGACATAATCTGTAGGTGCATATTGTCTGCATAGATGCTTTTGTCCAATTTCCGAGCCACAAAGTTCGAACTACGATGTTCTAGAATACCGGACTTATCTAACTTTATACGGGATGAAAATCGTTTCGGGACTAGATTCGCATTCTTTTCATAAGACGAGAGCACTGCAAGTCACATTTTCAAAATTTCACTGATTTAATTTGTAGCGCAATGCCAGTTAAAGCACTCAACCTAGTCCTTTAAATTCTTGCAATATCTCATGACTACACAAGCCGCTGTTATTCTTTTTGTGCCCATAGAGATTTCTAACACAGATGCAGAATTGTAGCTGCTTCTTCTAGCTCACAGCATTTTTCTGTGGATCTGTGGCTCACATTTATCTTCCAAACGGTTATCATTGAACCGATGCGCGTTTCATTCCCATTTCTCAATGCATTCTTGCTCCCACATGTATCCATGCAACAGCTGGCTGGAAAATGTAGCAAGCATTATGGATAGCAGGCGCTTCCTGCGGCGTCTTTATTTCTGATGCATCTTTGCATAAATCCAAACTATGAAGCTTTCATGCCTCTGAATATGTATGTCTGTCTGCTTTTTATTTAAAAAAAAATAATTTAATAGAAATGATAAGGAAGGGAAATGAAACCATTGATAATGAAATATTTCTGAGACTTAAAAATCAAATGTTAAATGAAACAGATATTTGAAAAGTGTAAAATTTTTATAAATTCGTAATAAACGCTTCATTGTGGCGATGGAACAGTATACGCCGCCACCCATTTCACTTGTTTCTGTAAGACTTGGCCAGTAAATCGCTTGTGAGCAAACTTCATATATTTATTTTTCGTGCTCGTGAACTGACTGGCCGGTGGCCCAGCTGCAGGATTTGTGATTCGCGGAGTGTTGCAGCAGCAACGTCAGCAGCTAAACTGCCCACACATCGTAGTAATACATCAGTTTGTTTCAGCACAGGAAAACAGCGTGTGGGTGTGTGTTGTGGAATTTTATCGAAACACCGAAGTGCGTTATGTTCGGTTTGGAGTAGAGTTGCAGATGTTCTTCACTGAACACCGTCTTTCGCATCTTCCACGCAGCCATGGCTAAAAAAGTTGGGAATCCTGAACAACAGCCGGTCTACCGAGTGCCAGATCCCAATGAATCGGACCGGGTACCACTTATCGTTTGCCGATATTCAGAAAAAAGCATAATTTCGTAGGACGGCTTTTCCTGTTGCTGAGCTGAATATCAACAAATTCGGAATCCTCCACTGGCTGAATTAAAAAGAAGGGAAAAACAGAAAAGATCCCCATCCGCAAATAATTTCGGAATTAATGGAGCAAAAGTGCTTCTGTTTGGAAGCATAGTCTATTTTAACTGGGAGCTGGCAGCTGAAAGCATTATTTTCATCGTATAACACTTGCAGTAATATTTTCTCTGAAAATTAAGATACGAGCACGCATTTCTGACAATTATTTTTTATAGATAGCTCAGTACGTGTTACACAAATTGAAGTAGCTCAGTCGTAAGCTATGAAAGTTTCGGGCACACAGCGACAAAAATAGGAAGTTTGAATTGCAAGGCGCTCCGAGCATGCATTTGCACAATCACATGAAAAAAGATTTATTCAGAAGCCAGGAAGCTGAGGTTGGACACGAAGACATTGCAATGATAAAATACCATTCTGACTGGAAAGTTAAATCTAAAGTGACCGGAACTCATTACTTGACAGGTGGTAGGAAGTGCTAAATGACTGCAAAACAGCTTGCAGTAGCAAGCTGCACTACTTCCGCGCGGAACATCGAAGACTCAGCTCCGCAGCAACAGAAGCAGTCTTTCTACGTTTCTTTCATTCATTTTGACAGCAGATTGTTCCCGGTGCGTATTAGGGAGTAAAAACTGCCGTCAAGTTGTTCCTAAGAACCATCGATAGCCTTGTCAGCGTCTGATTACAGCCAAAACGTGTTACCATTCAGTTTTATTTCCGAGTGTCTCCGCTTCTCACAGAGAGCAAATTCGGAGAAACTTTTGATTTTTGTTTCAATAAAAGCTGAAGAAATATTCTCGCAGAACGGTTACCGCTGTCCAGCTAATACTTATCAACTTCTTGGTAGCAGTACACAGTAATACTAGAAAATAAGCGAAAACTGAAAGCTAAAAAATAAGAATTTTGCACGTTTCGAACCTTTGTTCCTTCTTTCATTACATGAAGGAATTTTTTTCAGTACAAGCTAAGTTAGCGGTTTAGAAAGACAAACATGAGATAGGGTGAACAAAAGGGCGCAGTCAGCCGGTAGTGTGGACAAACACAAGATAGTATTTTTGAAACTGATTCGTTCAGTTTTTTGTTCAAAATATAAAATGTATTTTAGGTGGCACTCCGGCCAACAATTAGCCTTTTCGGAGGTGTCATGATTATTGTTGGATGTATTATCGGTTCCGGCATTTTTATTTCGCCAAAGGGCGTCCACGAACGTTTGTTCCTTGCAATTTGAACTCAAAATCTTACTGTTTATAGCACAATAAATTAATACTGATTCACAGTTGCACATTAGTTACAACATGCTTTAGCAGGCAAGGCGCGGTGTAAGTGGTGCAGAACTTCGGAAGTCTGTTTTCGCCAGTAGAATAACCTGTCGCTTTTATTCATTTCAGCAATAAATTAGCATAGGTTATGCCAGGGAACCAAAACCGATACCAATTTGTCTCTGTAGAACTCTCGAAAGAGCGAATTTACAGCAGTTCTGCCAGAAGCTGGCTGTCTTTTGTATATACTAACATGGGCTATTTCCAGTGTCTCTACCTTCTAATGAGAGATTTTTAACTTTTCATTTATGCAGAAATGTCAAATTTTCAACAAACATTTCTCATCCTTTCATAAAAATAGCCCTCTGAAGGTAAGCGCCCAGAAGATTACGAACTGGTGATAGTCTTGTGAGAATCTTTATCCACTGTTCCTCGAAAAAAAACGCCATCTGTTGCACTCCCGCCTTTTGAAATTATCAAAACGAAATTAAAGAACACATTTTTTTTCTTACTCACGGCATGACCTTTGAAAAAAATTATTTAGCTTTTAGATGCAGGATCAGTAGGATGGTCACTAGTTGTCTGGCTAATTTGTGGAGCTTTTTCGGCGATTGGTGCATACTGTTATGCAGAATTAGGCACATTTATCCGGAGTTCTGGCGGAGATTATGCCTATGTGCTTGCTGCTTTCGGTCCTCTGATCGGCTTTTTGCGAATGTGGATCGAATGCATTATTGTGAGGTCAATATTCTTTAATATTTTATCACTCTAATTTTTTAAAATACTAGACTGGCCATGAGCGTTCCTAAAATTACGCTTTCTGTTAGGAATTTGAGCTCAAATGTCTTCTGCTGTTTCTGTTTATTTTTCATACGTGATGTTTGCAAAAATGCATTATGGCAACATCACATGTGTCCGTCTGACCCCACATCTAACTCATTTCAAAGAGTGCAAAAGCTAAGAAGATACCGTTTTGAGGGCGTTATCTGTGTCAGAGTATAAAACCTCCTTACCTGTGACCTTAGCTTTGAATTCGAGTAGCTAGTTTTTATGCGCTTTTTGCTGTAACAGTTGCACAAGAAGCATATTTTCATGACTATGCCTTCCTCAATTCCGGAATCGATGTTTGCTGGATCAAAGCCTATGACACCGTCATCGGTGCCCAACTACAGTTCAACGACGAAGCTGTATAAAACCGTGTAAGATAGAAAAGTTTTCAGGCCATGCACAATTACTGCTGTTGCAATAACCTTTGCAACGTATATTCTGCAACCATTTTTCCAACACTGTGGTGCTCCCTATTTGGCGCCACAGCTTCTGGCTGCCGGGTGCATTGGTAAGTTCTTGCGAGAAAGGGGACACATTTTTTGTATTACACAGCAAATTGTTGCAGAATTTCTGTATGAATAAAATTTCTATAATTTTTTAGCACGTTTTTTAAGACTAATTGAAGCGGGATAACAAATTTTTATCAGAAAAGTCTAACTGCAGCGATCGAAAAATTCTGAGGCAGGCATTATTTAAAACTAGGAGGCATTAGTCAAGAAATTAAAATAAAACATGGAGAAACTGGCGTTGTGAAAAAAAGACAGTTACAAGCCGAAGACAGTAATACTGGTTCTGATCGGTCTGTAATAGCTGCATTTTCGTTTTTTTTTTTTTTTTTTT